AAATTGATAATGAAATTTATCAATTCTAATAATTCGCATAATATTTTTTAGTCAACTAAAATAAACTTTTCTTTTTAATATAATTTTATTTGAATTAATTACAACATAACTTAATTATAAAAATATTTCGTATTTAAAATTATAAATATACCTTACGCCTAAGCAAAGTAAAACGTACACAAAGCACAGCTAATACATTTTATTAGGCTGTAAATGCATAATTTTGCAGTTTGCATTTGCTCAAATATAGCTTTGTAGCGCAAATTAAATCACTCCAAAAGCTGATTGATGCAACTGTCATCTTCATTTTGAATGCTTTTCTTTAGTTTATTGCTCAGAGATTAACAAACAGAAAAAAATATCGTCAAATATACATAAGGCTTTTTTATAACGAGATGCGTGTCATTGATGTTCTATTGAAAATTGAATGCTTATGCTTATGCAATCGTGATAGAATGTGTCTTTACTATTGTACAAATCACAGCTATAGTTACTTTTTTTCGAGATTGTTTCAATATTTAAAACTCAAATCTGATCTGAAGCAACATTTAATAGGAGCTTTAGCTTAATTGATCAATAAATATCTAACAAACTTTGACAGTTTGATAATGTACAGTGAACAGTAATTACACCTCTTATCTCGATACATAAACTATTTTATTTTATCTTTATTACGTTTTAACAGCAATAAATTTTATGATTCACATAATGAGTATTTTTCTTTAAGAAAAATTTAAATATTTAATTATTAAAAATCAAAAATAAGACGATTTAAGCATTAAAATATAAAAAATAAATGAAAAATAGATTATTCATATATGGGTATATCATTTCTAGTAATATCTCGAACGAAAAATTACATTTATTATATATAATATTTAATTCCAGCAATATGTATATAATAAAGATAATTGAAAAAAGTTACTACATAATAATTACATTTATTTTTGCAGAAAAAAATATGTTTTTAAAATATCTTTTATATAGGTATATTTTATAGTTATATAAATAGCATAATATAACGTATAAGTTCGAAAGGAAAAAATAAAGGCTCCCTTCCCCGATAGCATATCAAATATAGAAGATAGCGATTATGATTTGATATAAATTAATTATACACATTGGTTTGAGCGCGGAAATTAATCTAGATTGATTAATCGCGCGCGCAAATAGAATGATAAATATCGCGCTCGTGCGATATCATGCACAATGCTTTTATTGGGTTAGACTTACATTACGATAATTACATTTCGCTCGCGATGCACATGCGAGCTTGTGCAAATGTATAAATGGTATAAATGTACAACATATATATATATGTTCAATATATATATATATATATATGTATACAGGCACGGTGTGATGTAAGAGAGAACGGAAACAATCGCGAGATAGCGAGCGCAGCAAAAAATCTCTGGTCACTATAGAGGAAGATTGCGCTGCTTATCGCTAATATTGTGTGCCGAGCACAAAATTATGTAATGTCGCCGCTAGTAAACAATGATTATCACTATATACATATATGTTGCTGGAATACGCTAAATTGTCCATATGTTTGCATTCTTTTCTCAAGAAAGAGAGAGATTTTAAAAAATTTTTAATTTTCTTCTCATTATATATGTATATATATACTTTCTTTTTTGAAGAGCGCAATAATATATTTTATTTGTATAATTATCATAGATTGAAGCACTTCTCAAACTCATATTTTTCTTAAAGATTTTCTTCAAAAAAAAAAAAAAAGTAAAAGAATTTAAATTGTATGTGTACGCGACCACGTGATATGTGCGTGCGTGCGTGTACAGATGTATACACAGGATGTAAAAGTACAAATTAAATCAATCGTTCTTTATCTCGGGTGCGTGTAATTAAGAAAAAATTCCAATTTCTGAGAAACACAAAGACAAAAGTATTACATATGTTTCGATAACATCTTCACGATAATATCGAATTATGTATGTGTCAAAATTTACATAAAATTGCAATTTATATGCTAAAGTAGTTTTCCATTCCGTTTAAGAATTTATTTATATTATTATTTGTATAATTCGTGTACGAATTAAAAAAGATATACAAAATAATACACATTTCTAACAATTTGCAAAAAATGATACGTCTATTATACATAAAGTAGTAATCATTTATGTAAAGCGTGCAAGCACTATTATTAATAATGAATTGACATATCACTTTTGTATATATGTATAACTTTACTTTTGTTACATAATAATTTAATTTGTAATTCGTATTTTAATTCAACCTTTATGACTTAATTCTTATGTAACACGTGTTACTCTATCACGCTCAAATTACAAACACATATATTTATCACATTACGAGATATAAATCGGATAAAACACCTACGCGTGCACATACACAAATTATGCGCGTGTTATAAATATGCAAATGTACCTATATTAAGCTGTCTTATCGCTTCATCGTTTTATCGATTAACGCGTATCTTTTTTTTCGCCCTAGTAGAATTATATACCGAGTACGTCCGATTGACTTTCAGAATCGCTACATTCCATCGCAGACACCGATTACAAATGCAAATAATGTTATGAATTCTCGGTAAGATATTACATGCCGCTCTTTCGGAGTTTGGTTTTTCTATTTTATTTTTAACCATTAATTATCAGGAGAGACTCGATCGGTTGAAAAAGAATAATAAATAAACACAATCTTCAAGATACGCTAAAATTACTCCGCGTATATAATGACTCTGCAATGATGAAATTTTGAGGTCATCTTATCTTTATAAAGATAATAAAAATATATCTTATCTACATCTTAGATGAAAAAAGTGTTATCTTTATTAAATTATCTAGAATAATGTTCAGATAATTTGCTTTAGTCATAACACATAAAAAATACTGAAGTAGTGGAACTTAAGCAGTAAGCGATAAAAATTTACAAATAAAAGTATGAATACATTTTTATATCTCTTTAATAATTTACATTTTTTATAACTATGTTTACAATAATTTTAAAAATAATATTATCTGTGGAAGTGATCTAGATGAATCTCTATATAATTTTGTCTTGCATCTAGATATATTTAAATTCAAAATCACCTTTATCTTATCTAAGATGAATTTACATACTTTCATATCTCATCTTTATAATTTTAAAATTATCCAAGCACAACGCTAATGACTGTATACATATTTAATAACGTAAAGATATGCGCTAAATTGTCGTATATATAGATGCAGGGAAAAATGTGTATTGCTCCAATCGTGAATTTTCTTTTATTTTTATTTGTTTGTCTTACAATTATCCAATTATAATACGAACAAGTAATATCATATGTAACGTGCAGTACCACGTAATCGGATACGTATGTATATAGGCATTATAATCAACGAGAATGGTGCAAGCTATTATTATTACGAATCAGACTTACATGGTATAAAACGGGAATTAACGCCGTATAACACATTGTATATATATATATATATATATATATATATATATATATATATATATATACACGTGAGAATGTGCAAGTTACATTGTAATTGTTTGCGCAACAATAATTACTGATTCGCCGGTAAATCCCCTTTGCGCAGGATATTATATATGTATATCGATCCTCGTAAATTACTTGTTCTCACTTCGGGACTCTTGTTTTTCCCGTGAATAATTTTTCCCGCTACATTGCAGAGATTTAAGATTATAAAAATCGATCATTTTTATGTTCAAAGCTCTGAATATGATGTCAAGGGATACACCAAGTGCAATTTGTATAGCTAAAAATATAGTGATAGATATATATGTATATATATAATTGAGTAGAAAAATCTATAACAAATAATGTAGTTAAAAAGATTGCACTGAAAAAAAAATTATTAATTGGATAAAAAAAATCGTTCAACTAAATACTTTATTTTATTAATTGAACACATATAGAAATATTTAAATTAAATACAACATAATAAATCTAACATGACGTGATTTTTATTTAAATATTTCTATATATTCAATTAACAAAATAATATTTTTAGTTGAACGATTTAGTCAAGGTAACAACTTTTTCGATAAATTTTATAAGAACAGATAATTATTCTATATAGGTTTTATTTCAGATTTTAATTTGAATAATTAAAATAATTTTTCCTTAAATGCATATATTATTTTAAACGTAATACGTACAATATTTGCATAAATAATTAGCTTTAAATTATTTGAATTGCAGAAATTTAAATCAAATGAATATCCCAACTAAACAATTTCGGCTTCAAATAATTTTACTGGTCATTTGAAGCTATGATTATTAATTACCAATTAAAATTACTTGTTAGAGTGTAAGTAATTCATCTTTCTATACATTATATGTAGATTACTCGTTTTTTCATTATATGTATATATTTTAATGAATAATTTAAATAATTTTATAATTATTTTGCTAATATATGTATATATATTATACATACACACTGGCGAATCCCGGAAGGGGGTCAACCTCCCCCTTGCAATTTAAAAAAATTCATTGAGTCTTGAGTGAAAGTTAAGCATGAAACAAAAAATATTAATTAAATAAAGTGTACATACATCCCGGTAGGTGGAACATAATTTCTTTAAAAAATAATTTAAAGATGACAGAAGGAATCAGATTTAAAGCACTCTAATATAAAATAATCGCCTTATATAGTTTTCAAAAAAACTTATATTGCTCGAACATTGATAGAATATTTATGAACAATAGAATAAATAAATAATTGTAATACATAAAATTTGTTTTCCAAAATGAATTTTAAGTGACGTCATCATGCTATATGTCATTATGAGTTTTATGTTCTATACCCGGGGTATAGAACATAGAACATAAATATACATACATATACATAAGAGAAGCTTGGAAAATCCACCAACCGTTCTCATCAATATTATGATCCAAGCCGGGGAAGAATTAAAACGATATTTCGCGATCCTGACGGCATCGCATCGCGAGGGAAAACACGATGGCGGGGCACGCGACATGCGCCCGACCCGACACCGAGAAAGCAAATTCGCGACTTCTGTCAGATCGCGCGACACGAGCGAGCGAACCGAGCCGAGAGCGAGAGACTCGCGCGCGGACGCAAACAACCACCCGTAAACACACGCGTCGCATCCTCCGCTTTTTCGGTATATTTGCACGACAGTCGCGCGCGAGCGTTTCGGTAGTAAGCAGCTGATTAATCCGCTCGCCAAAGAAGAACAGGAGAACGCGCGCCTCGAGGACGCTTCGTGTGTACGTCGAAATGAACTCGGAAATACGTACAATTCACTCTAGTCACGCCTAACAATATCACCAAAACAATCAAGGGTGAGTACTCAATGATATTTATTATAATCAATTTCCACTTCTGTAAATATATTTCAATATTCTCGACTGCGTTTGCTTTTTCATCATTACTCGAGTATTATTTTATCTATATTATTTATTTATTTACATTTTTATTTTTAAATTAAATTTGTCATAATAAAATTCAAATTTAAAATTTTAATATACATTCTCTGTTAAAGAATACATATAATATTTGCATAATTATTTTTAAATTATGCAAGATCTATCAAAACAATATTCTTGAAATATCCGAACTAAATGATTTCGAGTTCAAATAATTTTAATATATGTATAATATCCAAAACGACATCAGAGAAGAAAGATGTTGATTCTCTAACGGAAAAAGTAATATTTAATTTTTAATTTAAATTTTATTATGACAAATAATAAAAAAGAAGGATAATTTTAAATCTAATAGCCGAGTAATGATGAAAAAGCAAACGCGCAGTCGAGGATATTTAAATGATATTTATGAACAACTTTTCCACATATATTATAAGAATGTTGCGAATAAAATTGGCATATATGTATAATGAAGTGCCATCACGAATTTGGACGACACACTTTGCGGTACACTTGTTCGCGAGAAGAGCGAAAGAAATGATTTGCATACATATGTCATTATATGGACATTTATACAGAAGAAAACCGATCAGCCACGTTGAATGCTGAAATCGCAACAGAGAAAGCATCATCCGCCTTTATGTAGGATTATAGGCCTTCTAATAAACTTTCGCATATAGACTTACTTTACTTTGTGGCGGTTGTGAAGTGAAACAGGCAAATTGTGTAAATTTATCGTGAGAAAAAGGATAAATACGCATTTTCGAATTAGATACGTACGAAAACATACAAAAACAAATCATATATAGGTCTTTCAAAATAGCAGATCTTTTTTAGAAAAAGTATGCATCGAGAGTGTTTTGTGTAACTAGCATTTATATAAATTTTTCAATCAAATGTTTGCAAATAAAGAATTGTATGAAATAAATTTTATTAATTTTTTTGTTTTTGTAAGTTTTTAAATTCTTGAATTTTGACTTTTTTTAAATTAAAAATAGTGTTGAAATAATTACTTGAAACATGCGGAAATAGTCTATTGCGTTTCATTATTTATATTTAATTCTTCATGCGCGTTGTATACATATATATTCTCTTCAAAGAATGTAAAATTAAATTTGTAAAGTCCCCCTACATAAGTTTTGTAAACGTCGTAAATTCGTATTAGTCGATCTCGACTTCGTTTATAAACGAGAACCTTGACCAAAGTGATATTTTTTTCAGTTACGGTGTCTGACGATATTGGAGGTAAAAACTACTTTGATAGACCTCCGATACACTTCCTCATGCTGCAATCACATTTACGAAAAAATTGTATGTGATATTAATTTCCATCCTAGCCACATATTTCTCAATATATCACCTTCAAAAATATTTTAAGAAAAATACAAAAATGTCGTCAAAGTTCTAATGAGAAAAAAATATAAGATAATAGCAAAACACCTTAAAAAGCGGAGCTTTAGACTTTTTAATTTTGATTTTAAAAAATTTTGAAAATCAAAAAAATCCATTTTTTCGAGACATTTTGTAGTCATTTTTAAAATTTTGTTCGTAATATTTTTTTGACACATTGTATCTTGAATTATAATATATATATATATATATATATATAATAATGGCATATGGCGACCATGAGGATTGCTTTAATGATGCGAATTAGTTATCGATATCGAATCGCGATTAGGCTTTCGTTCCGGATATCAACAATATAATATACGCTATATAAATAGACACTTCTCGCGTGAAGCCTCAATTATACAACAATATTTCAAATTGTTTATCAGGAATTGTTTAATTATGTCACTCGATTGTCTCAAGAATTGCTTGTCTTGTAAATGTCAGTTGGACACTAGCGATGTTTTAATGTCGGATGGATACAAAACGGTATTCCGAGGTAAAGCTCGGAAATTACAATCGTCTGCTTGCCACAAAGACATTCAAGGATTCCCAGGTGAACTATTCATTCTCTCGGTTAATACGAGGCGGCTGTGATTCATTGACGATCCATTTAAAAACGTAGACAGCTATTCGCCGCGACATTCTTTCATCACGTGCAAAATGCTTGAGCGATGAATCGCAATTAATCCGCGCGATAAGAACAATCTAATGGCAAAAACTTCCGTTTCTCCCTCTCTGCACATGACACGTATTTTTCACGTTTCAACATTTATTAGGCAAATGTATAATAATTCTTCATCCTTTTAGACGAACGCTTTAAATTGTGTGCGAAAAATTACACAAAAGTATTCAGTTAATTAAATAAATTATATAGAGACATCATTTTCAACAATTATCTCCGTAACATATAATTTAAGCTTCTATATTTATACTTAAAAAAGCGAATAATTTCACATTTTGCTCTTATACTAAGAATCATAATATGTGATTGTATATACAATGTTTATTATTTCAACAAGTTACATGAGAAGAAAAAGAAAGTAAAAATTTATTCTATCAAAAATATATTTGTATTTGATCTAAATAATTAGGGCAAGATAAAATAATTTAATTAATAAGATAAATCATTAGTTTAAGATATTTTATTCAATAATGATATTATTTACCATATTATTGGACGATAATGCATTAATAATCCCAAAATCTCAATCATATTTTGTATTTAATATAATATATATATACACTCTTTTAGATAGTAAAAAGAAATATCCAAACTTTTGTTTTTTTATATAATTTTAAATAAACTGCCATAAAATAGTCTTGTGTTATATTGCCTGTGGCAATTAATGTGCTTTATCCTTAAAAAAATGTTTGAAATAACGTCACTTGAGAAAATATAATGTTTGTATATTTATATTCACGGATAAGCGGAAACATAAAAATAATTGATATAAGGAAAAACTTGAATAATGTTGTAATGATCTGAAATCGAGTCATCGTAATTCGATGCAATTCACATCAAATAAAAATTTAATATATAATCGAAGATGCTGCATCGTTTTTATTTATTTGTAATTATTTCGCGAAAGTGCATAAATTATAAATATAAGTAAAATACACATACGATAATGTAATTAAATACATGTATTTTATAGATATTATATACATATATAATATATGTATTACGTGTCACTTAAAAAAGAACGTACGATGTATACGGTTGCGATATTTTTATTATTATGGAATAAACGAGCGTAACGTCTTAGAGACATGAACTTGACACGAAAAACCAGAATTCGACACTTAAAATATATTTGGTAGAAAAAATAATGCATTATATAGAATGTATGCGAAGGCTATCTTATTTTAATAATTGAACTAATAATCACAGCTCGGATTTCTCGTCTCGTTTAATGCATTATATATATTGAAAATAAATAAAAAAAATTATTGAACTTATTTTTTCTTTGAAACGACGACGTCGATCGTAATATGTTCGATATCATCTTACATAATATCGTATTATATATATCCGATACGGTGGATAGACAGTAATGAGAACAACGTTTATTCGATACGAGGAAGGCATGGCTAATCAGAGTATTTTTCAATACGAAATTAATTACGTAAACATCTTGCCAAGACCAATTCCAGTTCGTATGTAGATTTCCGTAGACGGAAATATACGTATTATTGTATTCGAGATATTCCGAGAAATATTATATATGTGTGCTTTTCTCGTACGTAAAACTTGGCTGGACGATATTAGATTATACACACGTGATTCGAATAATTTTCTTAATGCGCTCGTCTTTTCACGTTGACTTGTTATTCATCGTATCATCATCAAACAGCAGTTTCCGGTATCGTCACGCTTCCGCCTTGTAACGAGCTCTCGATGCTTGAATAAGCGCGGTGAGTCGTGAAATAGCGTCGATTTGACATGTGACAACTTTTACCTGCGTCACCTGCGTGTCATTTGAGAAAATGCATATCGATCAAATGTCATCTCGGAATATCGTTTCGTAATTTTGTATCCGGCAAGATGCAATCTTTCTTCGAACGTGTAATTTTTTTTCGCCTTCGGAATCACAAATGAGGAATTAACATCTAACGTCTCATTATGTCTCTCAATGCTCTAATTAGACCCATCATTATTTAAGGAAGACTTTTGTACATTTATAACGATTGTTCTGCGCGTTCACGATTTTCTCTCTTCAACTTTGTTGCTCAACTCGCCATTAAAATAAAATTCCCTCTTTTACAAGTGTTTTTGCAAAGATGATTGCAAATAAATTCCATCAATTATACCGCACTCGTTTGCCACGTTTTTGCCAACCATCTGAGAAATCTATGTTCGCACGAGCAATTGTAAGCGCAATACGTATACCGATGCACATTTATCTCGTTGAAAGGAAAACACGGTGTGCAAAGTTTTACATTGCTATGTTTTTTTTTCTTTTGCGCTAAAGAGAAAGAGAGATTTTCAACAAGAAATAATCTACCGCATACTTTTATTCAATCACGTTACAAAAAGAAACGATTGCTGTATGTATAGGCTATTTATTGTCAAGATCATATATCGAAACATATACATATATAAATGTAAAACAAAATACTATTTAATTATATGTAAATAGAAGGGAAGAAAATTATTTAATGATTTATATGTGAAATTGTTGATTCTTGGAAAATTTTGCGTTTCACAGTATAGCAAAGAAATCCTCTGTGTTTAAGCAAATATAATAGTAGTTGATAATGGAAATTGCTTGAGCGAATATTCCCCGAGTGAAAGAGTAGCTGAGAGTATATAAGGGGTGTTTTCCAGCAACGGAACACAGTATTACATACATAGTGACTAGTTGAAATGCTGCTTAGATTTTTTATTTTACCTACCGTCACAATACAAGACAGTCATTTTATATTGTTTTTTTCAAAATTTTAAGTTTTTAAACATTTTTTTAAAGTTTATCTCGTATCGGAATATCGTTCCAGGAAAGAAAAAATGGTACCAAATATATACAGATGTATCTAAATAAGTGTGAACAATTTTAGATGATTCTTTGTCGAAAGTATTCTCTCCTTGAGGAATTTAAGTTTTTATTTTTTAATAACATATTAATAAATATCCTTTTTATTAGAGGAAAATATTCCTCCCTTTCATGTTTCATCTTTTAATTTGTCTGAAATTTGAGAAAAAAATAAAAACTCAATTTTTACCTCCCTCTTTAGAAAGTTAACTCCTCAGGAAGGAATATGAGTATATGTTTATATAAGTAACTCCCTTTAATTTTCGACAAAGAATCATCTCCTAAAATTTTTCGCACTTATTTAGACTCTTTGTAAATGTTGGTATCCATAAAGTGACACCAAACGGCGACCCAGTCGAATAATACAGAACTTTATGTCACAAATAAATGGTAATGGACTAATTAAGAGCACAGTAAATAGTGCGCAAATCTTTGTTGAATAAATGTTTATCAAGTACATTTCGGTGTCCTATATTTGAACAATCTTCAACAGTTGTCAAATACATATAAATACATCAAGCGTGAATTGTACATTTCAAAATCAGACATAGATAATTATAATATATAAATACCGGTTAAACTTCACGCAAATAAAATACATACATATTAATAGGATTAATAATGCGTTAATCTATGCATAGATGCACGCATCATTAATTCTATTAATATGTACATAAATATAAAATATGCTATAGATAATATCCACAAAATTGAAATTAAAGAATGATTATCAGCGAACGCGGAAAATGTAAATATATAAAAAAAGTATACAGGAGCAACAATCTAAATTAATAACGCCTTCGTTTGTCCTTATTTATAGAGTCGCCGCGTGAACGAGAGCTCTCGACAGAATGGAGTCCACCTGAAAAAACAGACAAACACCAGCTTCACATTGGTTTATGCGTCTCTTCCGAATTCCACGTTTGATCGAGCGTCATCATGTCCAAGTACAACGTCAACGAGGAGTACGATATGGAGAACCGCAGGGAAGTAACGTTGACCGGCTTCAGCAGCAACGCGCTCGACGATATTCTTCGCGCGAACAATAACGAACCGAGTGCTCTAAACGGGAATCCCGGCGGTGCACATGCCATCACCAAAGATGCCAAAATTGTTAATCTCGAAGGTGAGAAATTATATATTTTTTACATTTTCTGAACGGAACCAACTCTAATTTTCTGACTGCAATTTTGAAAGAATATATAAATTCTACGAAGAATATGCGAGATGCTAAATTATAAAAAATATATGTGTAATGTTATGTATACAAGGTGTATCTAAATAAGTGCGAAAAATTTTAAGAGATGATTATTTGACGAAAATTAAAAGGGAGGTTTCTTATATAAACATGTACTCTTATATTCCTCCCTGCAGAGTTAAACTTTTCCAAAGGAGGTAAAATCTAAGTTTTTATTAATTTTCTCAAATTTCAGACAAATTGAAAAAAAAACTTTGGTGGATATTTTCCATTAATAATAAAAAGGATATTTATTAATATTCTAATTTTATTTTAAACTTAATTTTTATTTTCCTCTTTGAAAAAGTGTAACTCCTTAGGGAGGGATATGAGAGTATATGTTTATATGAGAAACCCCCCTATAATTTTCGGCAAAGAATCATCTAAAATTGTTCGCACTTTTTAGATACACCCCGTATACCTACGTATTTCTCGATATTTTTCGCGTTCAGGAAAAATTGGAAAAATGTGACATTTGAAAGGCAGCAAGGGATGTTTTATTTAACGAATTCCAATCAGGCTTTTACTTTTTAAAAAATGCATGGCATATCGATTGTAACCGTGCAATTTTCTATCACGATATGCTTTTCACATATAGAAATTGTGCGAAATTGCAAGTATGCGTAACTCGTGCGAAAAATTCATCGGCAATCATTCGTAAAGGAGAAAAAATAAAACCGGGATGTGTGTGATTCGATGCTTGTTTCATGCAGCCGAGAACAGCGGCGGAAACGTCGATAAAAATTGTTTGCAAAAAAATGTACGGTACACCAACCTTCACTTTCACGGTTAAATTGTTGTTTTTAACGCGCGTTACGATATATTTATAACTGGAAAAATTGCTTCAAGGTACATTACCTTTATCAAAATCGGCTTATGCGTTGCACATATACGTTTATGTACGCGTATAATATTGAGGTGCTTTTTTCTAATAATTTTTTTAATTAAATACGACGCGAAATATTTTTAAATAATATACGTACAAGTTTTTTGGACGATAAATAATATAATAATACAATATTACAGTCGAACGCAACCGCAATGACAATTTTGCATCAAAATCTAGAAATCTATCTTATTTATATAATTGAAATATTCATAGCAAATTTATTTACTTAATAATGATATTGTTAAATACGACAGATATAGCAAAAAAATATTGCTTTTTATACGAGAATCTCTATGAATATATTTATATAAGGCTTTGATATATTGTTTACGCATCGATGGTTTTATACTTTCGCTGTCAGTACGATGATTTATTAAGCAAAAAATGAATATTTCAAAGTATAATAATTATTTTGCAAAAAGCATTCCATTATAAAATACAGAGAATATTTTATGAGCGCAATATTCATATTATCTTCTACTCTATTTTTTTATAAAGCATCGATTTATATTAATATTTATATTTTTAAAATATATCGTTCGCAAACAATTAATAATAGTCGTATCGCAAAACAATCAACATTGACATATTCATATATAAATTAAATCGAGAAACGATGAAATGCAACATGACACTCGTATCACGTGCAAAACACATTTTAGTCGAATTTAAATGATTTACTACAAAAAAAATATCCAATTTTTTTATTATTTTAATTAATAGCAGACGCGATGAAATTCAAGATCAAAATAACGAATTTTAACGTATCGACATGCATGCGTTGACACGATTGTTGCAATTTAATTGTTAATTAATTAGCGTAACAACGTAACGCACTGTTACATTTACAGATCGTATTATATTTGCGGTTCATTAAGCTTCATCATACACTCTGACAATGAGAGTGAAATATATATAGTACCTTATTATACTCTGCATGATACTTTATGACTTATGATAATGTTGATGAAAAATACGTGTCGATAGAACGTATATGTATGTATTTACGTAAACTTGTAGTGTAGGGGATCGCATGACAGATAGGCATAGATGTAACTTTTTTTCGCGCCGGAAATCATGAATTCACGGAAATTGGCACCTCGCTCAGGTGTGTCTGGTGATAACATGGAAGTAGGCATTAACGTAAGCCTTGAACTTCGCACGTGACGTTTTTGAAGATGCGATGCGAATTATACACGGTTGTCGTGATACTGATTAAAATCGCGTTAATTATATTTATTGTTCTAACTTCCGTTTTAGCGCTACAATAATGTGATCGTGTCGAGAAGAAATATTTTTAACGTAGAATATACTATTTTTTTAATTTTTGCTTTGAGCTTGATTTTCAATTATTTTTAACTTTGAGCTAATTTTGAATTATTTTTAATAATATCTGCAAATATATAATATTGCAATTTTTTATAATTTTGATTACGTGATCTTGTCAAATTTTTCAAAAAGGAAACATTTTTATAAAATATTTTAAATTTATTTATATACATATATATATGTGTATATTGTATGCTGCGTTTTATATTTGAACTACTTTCTTTATATGAGAATATTTGTGATCTTCCAGAATTCAATTCTAATAATTTAAAAAAATCAATTAATACAAAGTTTCGCTCGTATATTGTAAATACAACTAGTGGTAGATAAAAAAGCCAACTTATCGAGCTATTATTAGAGTTGTTCTGTAATTACTCGCATATAACAATGAAACTTTTCGAGATTTGATTAAAATCAAAGATCATATCAAGGCGAACATTCGTTGGATATGACGGATTGAAACACGCTTTAATTGCTTATAAATTCTCGACTTTTATTGAAGAACTAACATTAATTTTCGATATTATGTGGAATTTTTGTATGAATTTGTATTTTTTAATAATTACTGTAATATAATACTGAGGAAGACCGCGTGCGGTTGAAACGTTTATTTTATAATGATTGTAATTTTCGCTTAAGTTTGAGTATAGAATGTTTGTAGCTTTCACATAATGGTTTATGTTTAGTTTATACATGGAATAAATTTTATTTGACAGAACAACTCTAATAATTGCTCGATAAGTTGGCCTTTTTATCTATCACTAGTTGTACTAATAATTTTATTTAAAAATTCGAAATAAAAGTGATTTTAAGTTGCTTATAATAATAATAAGTTTATTTACCTCGAACGCGTGATACACTTTCTAAAGCGAATATTATAAAGGCACTTTTCACTTATGCCCAACAAACTCAACATATTTGTCAAGATGAATGTTAATTAATCACAGGCACCCGGTATGTTGCAGAATAATAAGTAATAATTTTGAATACGTCGAATAATCATTTGCCTTGGCATCTTTATGCGTTTGACTTAGGTATTTCCCCTTCTTTCGTTAATTGTAAAACTGAGAACACGAATAATATCACGAAGCAACGCTGATAAATATAAAAAAAAATATATTATTATTAATCGGATATTAATATGTTAACGTAACAGTGACATATAGAATATAACATATAAATTAAAGCGCGATGACATTTTGTAATAAAATTTTACCCGGCACATAATTTTTCTTTATAATTTTTGTATCTAAACTTCGATCTTTAAATGTCGATTTTGTTCTGCGCAATAATATATCACATTTTTCAAATATATAAACATACATATTATTTATAGCTTCTCGTATATATTTTTGTTATATTTCTCAGTACCGCAAAATTCCAATAAGAATGTCCTGTGTACCTCCGGAAAAAGGTGGCTCCATCAACGAGTGAGGAGGTCTTGCAAGAAAAAACTACTGTTCAAGAAAATACCGATTCTAGCGTGGTTACCAAATTATCGAAAAGAATACGTAGTGAGCGATTTAGTGGCCGGAATTACCGTAGGCCTCACCGTCATTCCGCAAGCTATAGCGTACGCTAACGTTGCCGGACTTCCGTTACAGGTAAGACCAAATAATATCCATCGAAACGTTTATCAATATAATTGATTTATTTTTTCTATTGTTTGTATTTTTTTTATTTTTATTTTTTATTATATAGAGATTTTTTAAGTCTAAAAGAATAAATAGTAATAATATGTTGAAAAATTCTATTTAATTTATTAAAAGTTGTCAAGAAATGGCAATGAATCAACAGTCAAATAAAATTGATGACGATAAAGAGAAAAAAATGTATAACGTTGTTCTATTATATAGTATGGACTCTACTCGTCCTTCATGGCTTGTTTCGTGTACACAATTTTCGGATCTTGGAAGGATGTACCTGTAGGACCAACCGCGATCGCTGCAATTTTAACGAGGGAGACATTACAAAAGGCCCATCTAGGACCCGATTTCGCCGTACTACTGTGTTTCGTTTCGGGCTGTGTTTCTCTACTAATGGGCATTTTGCATTTAGGTAACATCGCAAAGAAACAAAATTCGTGCCATTCGCGATTGGATCCTAATTAATAAAACGTAGCGACATTCACAAATAATATTGTATTTTGTATTTAATTTTTAGATAGACATTTTTATTCAAGAATATACACAGTTGAATATATCTGTATATACAGTAAAGTACTATATATTTTAAATTAGCTGATCGTTTATAAAGTAATGTTTTTCCTACGATATGTAATCTTCTTCCTTCTCTCACATTATATTCACATTTGTAATAATGTAACCACACCGAAATGAGAAAATGAACGAAAGAGCCGCCAACACATTTATTTTGCACGTGTGCCATTAAAATAAATGTGAAGAGAAAATTGCATAATAAAAGGAAATAATTTCCTCAATGACTTTATATAATATAAACATATTCAATTGTATTTTATATACATTTTAAATATACATATACTTTTTTATATTATATATTTTTATATTTAATATATATATATTATTTTTTTAATAGGTCTTTTGTGTCTCTCTTAAATTATACTTACTTTCGATTCAATGTGTGAATTAGGATTTTTACTGGATTTTATATCTGGACCGGTATCCGTGGGTTTCACATCAGCGGCATCCATCATCATCGCTACCAGCCAGGTGAAAGATATTCTCGGGCTTAAAGTTACTGGCACTAAATTCCTGCAAGTCTGGCAAAGTATCTTCGAACACATCGGCGAGACGAGACGTTGGGACACCGCACTGGGAATTGTCTGCATAATCGTTCTTCTGCTTCTCCGAGTAAGAGCTCAACACTACTTAAATTGCACTTGTTGTTTTAATATAGTTCTCAAACACTCCAAGTTCACAGATATAATATAATCGAGTAATTCTCTTTCGATTACATATTTATTACATAGCTTATTTATGTAAGTCTACTAAATAGATTTTTTTTTTTTTTTTTTTTTTTTTTTTCATTTATAAACGTCAAACAAATTTTTGTTTTTTAGATTATATGTTCTATTGTTTGTTGGATATTAATTTAATTTTTATATTCTATTGCTTTTATATTCTAATAGCAAAAGAAATTCAAAGGTGATGTTATATACTTTTCATGTGTATTGATAGAAGGTGAAGGACTGGCCGATAATATCAAAAAACACCAAAGTACCATCGCAGCTTCAACAAATCATCACAAAGATGCTCTGGCTGATCTCCACAGCCAGAAACATCATCATAGTAATCGTCTGTGCGGTAATGTGCTGGCTCCTCGAGAAACATTACGGAGAATCGCCCGTGATTTTAACGGGTCACGTGAAACAAGGATTGCCGGAATTTCGTTTGCCACCCTTCGAAGCTCAGGTTGGGAATGAAACCTATACCTTCATCGACATGGTTTCCTCTCTAGGCACTGGTTGTCTGATTGTCCCCATGTTAAGTCTGCTGGAAACCATTTCCATCGCCAAAGTATTCTGTAAGAAAGTATTAAATAATTAAACTTTTCTTATTAAACAATAATTAAACAAAGTTTGCGAAATCGAAATAAAACTATTGCTATGATAAAAAATATGAAAAATATAAGATAAAATATGTCTAAGTGCATCTTCTGAAGAATTATTTTTATACATTTTATTTCGAATAACTTTTGAACTTGAAATGACAAATTCATATTTTAAATAAATGTGCATTTCAAATGCATGTTTCAAGTGTAATTAATAGTAAATGTATACGTATATTACAGCGGAGGGCAAGTCGATAGATGCGACTCAAGAGATGCTGGCGTTAGGCGCGTGCAACGTGATATCGTCGTTTGTGTCATCGATGCCCGTGAGCGGAGGCCTTAGCCGAGGCGCGGTCAATCACTCGTCTGGGGTAAAGACTACTCTCGGTGGAGTCTACACTGGATTATTGGTGCTCATATCGTTGCAGTTCCTCACACCTTATCTGTACTACATTCCAAAAGCCGCCCTAGCAGCCGTCATTATCGCTGCGGTCGTCTTTATGATGGAGTTTCAGGTGGTGAAGCCCATGTGGCGAAGTAAAAGTACGCTTCCCTTTTTACAAAACTGATACAAACGAAACGAAAGCAACGACAGACGGCAACGATAGAGCCAACTGGAGTTTAAGCAGTTGCGAAAAAAATAAATATATACAATACAATTATACACACACAAGAAACGATTACAAAGAACTATTTGAAAAAGAATTCAAAGCGAAAAATGCATTCTTTATTAATTTCTTTCTCAAGCCATAATATTTCCAATTGACTCTTTTATTTTTACTGTAATGTTACAAAATTTCTTTTTAAATTATTTTTCAAAATATTTTTTCTTTTACAAACTGCATTTTTTATTTTCAGAAATTGATCTCATACCGGCCGTGGCTACGTTTATATGTTGCCTCTTTATACGACTCGAATTGGGCATAGTGATCGGCATCGGTATAAATCTCCTGTTCCTACTTTACGCCTCGGCTAGACCGACGTTACGAGTTCATAAAGCTACAGTGAGTTTATAACGCCATGTAAATGTTATGGCATATAAAATATTTTCTCATTACAAATGTTTATAACACAAAATTTATAAATCGGAAAGTGCTTCTTAATGTTAAAATTATATCAATTTGTTGATTCTAAAAACATAATACAACTTTAATAAACATTTTGCATCATATACGTACGATCTTTTTTATATTTTTACATCTTATTTTATATTTTATACATTTATTATATTTCATGTACATATGTGATGTTTATACTAAATTTTCTTTACATAATATCTCGAGACTTCATCATAATACAACGAAATATCTTAATACATTTGTGCATTATCTTTTGTTTCAGAGTATTAGTGGCTGTGAATATCTTGTCATAACTCCAGATCGAAGTTTGGTGTTTCCGAGTGTCGAATACGTGCGAGCTGTCATTAGTAAACAAGGATTGCGAGAGGGAACCGCCATGCCTGTTGTAATAGATTCCACGCATATCCAAGCAGCCGATTTCACCGCTGCAAAGGTACGAATAGAGATCTCTTGGAAGAATAATGAAATAATAAAACTCTAATTATAACTCTTACTTTAACACGCTACATAATCAAGTGTCGTATCATCTCTCCATCATAGCAACTTTTCCTTTTACAGGGTATTAAAACTTTAATAGAGGATTTTGCTAAGCGGGGTCAGCCCTTAATCTTTCATAACTTAAAGCCGAGCGTTATCGAGATCTTTAAAGGTGTGAAACCTTCAGGGCTCACATGCAGTTCTAGCGAACTCGAACTCAACGACTGCCTTAAAGGTAAATCTCGATTGTTATTTAAGATTCTCTTTCGTTTTTTTATTTCTAAATATTATATATTTTTTATTGCAGAATACACAAATAATTCAACAGAAAATCTCAATCGATATTAATTGTAAATATATAAAGACAAAAATGCGAACGATATTTCCTTTTTTCAAAAGAAATATCTAATAAATATCAGTATTATAATGAAAATGGTCGTTACAAAAAGAAAAATATATATATATATTTATGAGAGTTAATATAAAATTAGCCTGTTGGTTATAAATTTGCGACACAATATTTTTATACTAGTACGAAAAGCAGAAGCTTAAATTATATACATATATCCCGAAGTTACTCTAAATTTAATTGAAGATAAGAAAGGTATAGATCTAATGATGGAGAGATTCTATTAACTAATACACAATTTATATGAGGAAACGATATTTTATACGAATAAAAAAGATAGATTAGCAATGTAAAATAATTTTTTTGTTGTTTTAGTCTCAAGAAAGTCAAATTATGAAATTATAATATTTTTTCTCTATTTTACTTATGTGACTTAAATCATAATGCACATTATACAAATGTATATTTGAACAAAAGATTCTACAATTTTCTAACTTTTTAAATAGATTTTCTCAAAAAGAAAAAATTGTACGTATAAAAAAAATGTATATTTTCTACCTATTTTTCTTGTAGACAGAAAGTTTTTTTTTTATAAGAAAGATAGTGATTCTGCAATAATATGTGTACTCGTATGTATGGACCATTCTATATCATCGCACAATACATCTGATAAATACGTGAATTGTGATGACATTACATATTCACTGTGAAAAAATCGTTATTGTAAATATATTGAAATTTTGCTTCACACATACACACGAGCGCATGCGCGTAAATATGTATTCAATAAATGTGAGTAGGCGATACATTTGGAAAACTAATCAACTATATATTTTAAAATATCTCACAATTGCTAACATACGACATTGTAAAATATGTGTACATATGTATATTTGAGAAATTATTAACATCAATTAATAGACGCTGATTTCTCGCGCACCTCCGGTCGGCGTCGCTATGTAGAATGCAGGTACGCCAGAGTACCTAAAATATTTGAGTAATATTTATAAAATAATACAAGAGACAAAGGAAGAGTGTCGTAACTTATATAAAATAGATTATGAAAGAGATACCAACTTTGCTTTCATATGTTGAATCGCCTTATTAATCGCGTTTTTTCTCAACAAAGTGACAGTGCAACCACCAAAACCCGCGCCTGTCAAACGACTTCCTAGCACACCGTCCACTTCTCTAGCCGCCGAGACGAGCGAATCGAGCTCCTTGGACGAGACCTCGTAATCGTCGCGCAACGAGTCATGACTCTCGTTCATTAATCGGCCGAATAACTGAAAGTCGCCTTTTTCGAGCGCTACCGCAGCGTCTTGGGTACGTTGAATTTCCGTGACTACGTGACGGGCTCTTCTCACGACACAGTCGGACGCGTTATTCCGTGATAAAGCTAAAAACATGTTAGGTAATCTGATATATCATAAAAATTATTAGAACAAAATGTACGTTAATTTATTACTTCCATTGTATTAAAATAGTGAATGTATAGTGATTATCTAAACACTCTAATAAAATATAAGATTAGTCGAAGAATTGAAGAAATAATCTCTCATTACCTAGGATATCGTTCATATTCGCGTCTCTCAGGCTCTTTTTGCCTAACATTTTAGCAGCTTCGTAACAACAGTCTCGGCGCTCGCAGTAGGCGCTGGAGCTCAACTTGTGCGGCGCGTTTGAATTTGTTATGAGAAAAACATAATTGTCTATATGTACCATAGGTATCTGTTTAGTGGTGAGATCTCGACAGTCGAGTAGGAGAGCACAGCCTTCCTTGCCCATTGTCGAGATGAATTGATCCATTATACCGCAAGGTACTCCAGCAAAGTTGTGCTCCGCTTTTTGACATGCCAGAGCCTGTAAATATATTCGTCGATACAAATATTTTCAATGAACAATATTTAATTAATCAATTATTAATCTTTTTTAATGACAGTAAAAAACGGCTATACAGCTTTGTTATACATACATATATTAATTATATACTTTGTGCAGCCGTTTATTATTGGAAATTATAATATATATTTGCAAAATTGTCGGAACCAAACAATTATTTCTTTATGCGATTACCTTTTCTTCTGGCTTCTCCGGTTTCTTCCCACTCAATGCCTCTAGAAATGTATATGTCGCTACTTCTAGAGCCGCTGAACTGCTGAGACCGGCTCCTGCAGGAACAGTTGACACAATCACGGCATTAAACGCAGGAACGTCACCTAAAATGTATACCGCGGTTGCATTATATAGAACATCCCAAATCTCTCGCTCGGATATCTATTTTATTGAATATTTAACATTTTCTGGTCTAAAAAGTGTACAAGAATTGAATTAATGCCGCAAAAATATAGTAATTTGTACATATGCGAATTAATTATGCAACGATCAGAGCTGTGAAACTTACAAATAAAATTGGCGATGCATCCTTTGATATAGTTTGCCCACTTTGGCTCTCCCGGTTTTATATCAGCTCGTTTGCCCGCTTCAAATTCGAACTCGTTTGTAGTGTCGACTACGTCACTCGAAGAAATAATTTTAGTTCTTCGACCATCGTGAGATTTCCCGACTATCACCGTAACCATTGGTAGTGCCTGATGATAATTAAATTATAATATTGAAATAATATTTTATTAACAATAAATCGTTGAAAAAGTATTATTAAATAATACGACAAATGTGTGTATATATGAAATAAAAAATAATTTTTGCGGTTTCTTATTCTACTTACAAGCACAAAGATACAGTTACAATATATTTTTTATTAAACACTATAATACTAGGATAAAATTGCATTGTAAATTCAAGATTACTTTTAATTGAGGAAAATTGCAATGCAGCAAATATGAATATGATATGAAATTTGAGATCGTAAAACATCAATGTCATTTTATAATAGCGTTTGCTTGCTCTCCAAAACGTCGCATATTAAGAACGTTTGAATTTCTATCAAAGTGGCGCGCTGAACGAACGTTTATCAAACGTTCCTCATTTGCATCTTCGTTGATTACATAAGCAACGAGATCGCGAGAAAAGCGCAAGCAGCGATGTCACGCGACCCTGACATCTGATCAAAGTAAGTTATAACTATCTGTACGCACCAGATATCAAAATACCTTCAAATAATCAATCACCCTCGCGTGCGCATATATTAATAATATATAAAATCAATAACAATTCTCGCAAATCAAAAGATATAAATCCTCCTATTCGCATCATACGCATTTCATTTTTTCTGCAAAATTGAAATGAAACATTTTGAGAGAAGAGAACGGATAAAAAAATAAAGCTATTCGAAATCAAGTCTCTCCGTTTCGCATCGCGCTTGCGTTTTAGAACACGAAATAAATTTAGAGATGAGAAAAGGAGGAAAAAAAAGAGATGAGGTGTGCATCTTCGACGGAGGATTTACCATCGGCAAGACGAAGCCCTCGTTATAATCGGTGTGCTCGCCGATGAGATTGACGCGACCGGGTGCGTAAACGCAGACGGCGGCTTCCTCGTTGAATCTCTCGGCGAAGAGTTGCAACGCCTTCGCTTTGACACTCGGAACGTCCGGGACCGATGCTGCCATGGTCAAGTATATTTTCGTCGAGACTTATTCGCTCTCGAAACGTGACTGAAACTCTGTGACGGAAATTGAGAGATTATAGACGACGATAGAAATGATAACCGACGCGGTTGACGGCCATAAAGATACTGATTAATATAAATCTTCTTACGTACAGTTAAGGGATATAAGAGAATGACGTGGGCGTGTTATCGTAACTTATTTTGTTTGTACAGGAATCGACAAGCGTGAACTTTTAATTCAACATTATCCGGCTTAATTTTTTCTCTGCAAGCAAAATTGTATAAAATAGTAATTAATAAATATATATAATAAGTTATAAAATATTAAATAGTATGAATATAAATTAAAAATATTTAAATATATATAAATGCATCTTAAATTGTGCACTCTCTAGCGCGCGCGAATGATTTATATTTAATTCTCTTATTTTTTTCTCTACAAAATTTATATAAAATAATAAAAGTAAATTATATAATAAAATATATAAAATGTAAATAGTGTATAAATATATATAAATAAAATATTTAAATATATAAATACATCTAAAAATATCAATATAAAATAATAAATGTGCACTCTCGCGCGCGAATAAGTCTCTGAAATATATATAATTTTATACTTTCATTATATATCAAACTGCACATAAAATAAGCAGCTTGTCGTAGTTTTTCTTAATGTGAAATTTTAATTTTCATCCAGCTGTTCATACAATTTTTCATTGGGTAACATAAGTAAAAGATGAGACTTAGTGCTTTTATCACATCACTCGCTACGCTATATATATATATATATATATATATATATATATATATACATACATACACACATATATATGTATGCATGTATGTGTGTTTTACACAGATGTCTGTGATGTTTTATTAAAGCGATGTTCGATCTTTAGCGAGCACGAGAGAGAAATTCAGAGTGCACGATTTTATTCTACATATATATGTATATGTAATATTATTTACCGTCATCTCTTGCTGTCGCTAGAACAATGCAGCGCAATGCAGAATGCAGGTGTTGTCGCTGACGAAGCCGAGTTAAATGTGCAAGTCAAATCACGGCGATAAATCGATTTTCTGCGAGGGCATATATCATGGACGCATTGCAGGCGATTTAAAGGCAATATTCGCGAAGAATGTGCCATGTCGGTCTCGGATCCCCTCATCAAAGAGCTGAAAGGTAATTTTGTCATCAGCTGTTTAGCAGGTTAGATGTCTCGTTACGAGAACACCAACAAAAAAGATCTACATTTTCTTTCGGTTTTTATACAGTTTATGTTATATATAAAAAAAGTTATCTATATGCATAGTATGAATTTTTCCATTTTTTGTAATCATTTTTATAAATTATTAATAACATTTTTATAAATTATTTTGTACTTTTAATATATATATGTTTATGTATTATTTGGTATAGAATATTACACATTTTTATTTAAATATTATATATCTGTGTATTGTGTACATAGTATATATATTATATATATATATATATATATATACGTGTGTTATATTTTAAAATTAATTTAAAATATTAAGCTTACAAGTTCTATATATGTTTTTCTATTTGCATCGAGTCAATGTTTATCATCATTTGAGAATAATCAATCCATTTTATATTCTTTCAAGAAATAAACAATATGTAGGCCTGTTTTTCATTGATAATACATATTTTAATATAATTTTGTTGCAAATTTTATTAATCTATCTATTAATTGTATTTTACTTTACTTTATATTAGAAATTGATAAACATAATTATGTAATCAATATAGCTTGTCAACTAATCTAATATATTTTACACGTCCTTTCAGGATGGACTCGAAAGCTGATGGAATATCCCAAAGAGATCAATGATGAGAATGAGAATTTGTGTCATTTTTGTAAATGCTTTGAAGACTGCTTACAAAAGGGCTTACTGTCTTGTTTTGATAGCACAGTTGGATACTTAAAAATACCCTGTGCATGGCACTGGTTAGAATATGTTGCTGAAAAAAATTACAGGTAAAATATTCTTCCATTTTCTTCAATACCTATGATTTATAATTTATGTTTTTTTAATTTTCATTAATATGATTTTTAGCTCCTACAATACATTCTTTTTGGTAGTAGAACAAGTCAAGCAAAATTTGAAAATACACACATCTATTGGACGACTTCGTTTTCTGATACGAGTATGCCTAGTGCGAAAATGTCTTCATATGCCGATAGAAATATTGGTGAGACTAATTCTACCAAAATACAATCACATGTATACATACAAAGCAAAACATGTATATATATATATATATATATATACACATGCACAAACATACAAAACATATATTATTTTTACAAGAATTTGTAATTTTGGTCATATAGACGAGAATACCAAGTTTAGCTACAGAGTTCTACGGTTTGAAGAGCATTGTGGGGGATGATATTTTACGAGAAATACTACTGTCTGTTCTACTGCAATGCAGTAAATTTAATTTTAAGCTGAATTTAAGAAATGCAACTTTCTTGGATGACACCTGGCAAATGCCATCATGCATAGCTTTAGAACTTGTACCTTGCAAAAGTTTAGGTATCTCTGTGTGGTAAGTGTTCATTTTAATTAAAAGAAAATTGATGAATCCTAATTGCTGCTATTGCTACAGTTTCACCAAGGAGAAGGCATTAATTGTCAATGTTGATGAAAAATCAGTGGCTGCTGAAGATGTAAGAAAAAAACACTTAAATATAAAAAAAAAATAAAATTAAAATTCCAATTTAATTTAATTATTTACATGTTGCATGTAAAACAGAATAAAATTGAAATCGGAGACATATTAGATGAGATAAACGAAAATATCATCAATGGTGACAGTAAGGGAAAATTACGTAAAATTATGAGGAAAGCTAGTGGACAACCAATAACTTTACATATCATTAAGGTGCGTATATATAATCATCAATTAGAAATTACAAATTTTTGTATTGATATAATTACTGTATGTTTTTAGCATCGTACCAAAAATCTCGTGAACTTTATGAACCAATAGTACATCTTATCAAAAGTTCGGGTATTGAGAGAATGCAGTCTTTAATACAAATATCACAATTAGACCAAGCAGAGATCACCAAAAAGGATCAGATCTCTAAATTAAAAAATAAAACCTTAAGTAGTGGATTTCCAGTGAAATATTGTGGCTCTGTGCATGTTGGTACGGAAGGTGATGTGAAACAAATTGAAAAAGCTATTCGACGATTATTAAAGGAAGAAGTAAAGCAAGTGCCTGTAAAATTTGAATGTTTAGAAATTGGTATTGTAGTAACTCAAGAGATAGATAATCGAGTAAGTTAATTAAAATAAAATGTAAAATATATAATTAGATTTAATAAAAGTAATAATTAAGTTTTATATATGTTATATATGTTATGTTTCTTATATACATATATATATATATATATATATATATAAATTTAAATATACAAAATATATAATATATTAAACTAAAGCAACTTTTTTCAGACGATATGCAAACAAAGTTATATGGAAATCTCGTCGTGTGGATGTACTGCCAACATTCCAGATTATTTCGCATTTATCGCAGGGTGAGTTCTATCAAATTAATATCAAAATAAATTTCATATTTAAAATTATATTACACTTTATCTATTTTAATTTTAGAGAAACAAATTGTAATATGGCAACAAAATTTGATGCTTATATCTTTTATCACCGAAATGAAACTGAAGTTCAACAAATCTTACAGAGTTTGGGACAGGGATTTCAGCGTACTCATTTTGCAGTCTAATATATATAAATTATTTATTGTGCATGCATGTAAAGAAAAAAAATATTTATATCTTTGTATATCTTCCTTATATATTTTATTTATTGATTCTAGAATATTATAAGATACATAATATACATGCGTGCCATTTATTTCTTATCCAATTATTTAATAAATATTAAAATTAAAAGAAATTATAACTCGTTAATATACACATATGTCATGTATATTAAATGACAAATATGTCATTTAACCTATGGAATTGAAGAGTTTAGGACAATTTATACAAAGTAATAAATTATTTTTTCATGCTTTGAATAGTCTTGATATAAAATTTCTACTAACAAAAATTATATAGAATTACTCACTGCTAAGAATTAACTCTGACATTCGAACAAAACTATAATCTCGATCTAAAATGCCAGTTATTCAAAATTGTAGTCGTAAACTCGAGATAAGTATAATTTTCTTTGTTCTTCAAAGGTATAGCATGTTAAACTCGCATTAAATGAACAAAATCACTTGACACTGCTATTAATTCTGTTTAAACTGTCAAAATACGCGATCTCGTTCCGACTCGCTGGGTTGAATAATATATATATTTATATTTTATACAACAACGTTTTTTGTACATCGCAACGTATTGCAACTCATCCAACTCAGCACAATTGCAGCGGTGTGCGCGTTTTCATGCACGCATACGTAATAGCAAACGATAATAATAAATTAGCAAATAATATAGCAATAGCGATTCGGAAATTTTGAGCAAACTATGGCCGGCATTCACAGTTAATTCTTATATTTATAAGATAAGACGATCTTAAATATAAGAATGGACTATGAATACCGCCCTATATATTCTATATTTAGTCCACGAAAATCAATAAATATAGGGAAGTTTGTGTTTCGTCTAAAAAATGTGTTCCTTTGTGTTCCGGTCTGTGAGCACGATTTGACGGATATACTTGAACAAGGTATATGGAACTATTCCGAGGAAGTCCAAGCAACCACATCAGAAAGAAGAAGAATATAGGAAAATTAGAACTATAAAACTTTAGGTTTATTCTATAAATGAGCTTCCTGCACTAAATGTATATATATTAATGTATACATAAACATACAGTAGTAAAAATGAAAAATATATATAAAAAGAGTTAGAAAAATACAAAAAATTAGAACAAACCTATAATAAAACATGTATCAATCTAGACAACTGAAAATTGAAGATTGGAATTTGAGTAATCAGAATAAAAGGAACTAAAATGTCTATATGTTCTGATTGGCTAAATTTGAATCTTCAATCTCAATCTTCAAGTGCATACGCACCAAATCACTAATTTATTCTATACCAAAGACGTATATATGTTCACATCATTGCTTTATTATGCAATATACTATCTATAACTATGACTCATGCGATCTAAAAGAAAAATTTTATAAGTAAAAACCGCAGATCTATATTTAAATCCGCGAAAAACTTATTTATTATTATTTATTATTATTATTATTTATATATAATTATTAGTTTAATTCTTATACAAAAATTGAGAAAAATAATCATCACATATTAATTACTCTATATATGTAGTACTTTCAATTATTTATAAAAATTGCTTTTTATTTTACTCTTAATATACATTATAATTTAATTTAAATTTTTATTATGTAATGATATTTTTATTTTTGATTAGAAAAGTTTCGTAAAATTTTGTTAAACAATATAAGCATCTCATCGTTACAAGATATAATATATATTTATTTAATGTGATATCGCCTAGTAAGCAAGAATATTTAATCAACATTTTATAATGTTGATTTTATATAAATTTTCCAAACATTTAATATATATGTGTTGTATAAATATGTTTAAAATATTATTAATAAATATTCTAAAAAATATTTTAACTAATGTTTTATAAATATGTTTTAAAAATATTATTTAATAACATATAATGCGTTCTCAAAATATTAATAAAATATTTTAAAAACGTTAATTTCAAAATTACTGAAACCTCTAAATCAATGTCAAAGTTTGTTTATAATGATGTTATGCATACAATGCGTTAAAAACTAATACATACTTGACAGCAATAATAACGTTGTAGCAATGATTTTTTGCTTACTAGACGGATATAATTAATATATTCATCCACGTTAAAAATCTTCTAGAAATTTATTTCATATTATGCGTATACGGGATGTCGAAATTATTATCTAATTCTGACAAATTATATACTACTAGTATATATGGAACAGGTATATTATACGAAATATAAATAAAAATGACTAATAACATCCTCTTCTCAAGGCAACATTCTTAATCAACATGTCATAGTATGTAACCTTGATCCCAGTAAGCAAGAAATATTTAATCAACATTTTATAATGTTGATTTTATATAAATTTTCCAAACGTTATGATATAATGTTGTATAAATATCTTAAAAATATTATTAATAAATATTCTAAAAAATATTTTAACTGATTTTATAAATGTTTTAAAAATATTATTTAATAACATAATGCTCTCAAAATATTAATAAAATATTTTAAAAACATTAATTTCAACATTACTGAAACCTCTAAATCAATGTCAAAGTTTGTTTATAATGATGTTGCATACAATGTTAAAAACTACATACTTGACAGCAATAATAACGTTGTAGCCATGATTTTTTGCTTACTGGGATTATTAATTAGCCACATGATTTATCTAAAAATAGAGTATGTAACTCGATCGCTTTTCTTACTGTACTACTCATTTTTAATAGGAGATTCGTGAGACAATTTAGAGACAATTTTTCCTCAGGAAAATTTCCAGGTACCAATAATTTTCGAGTTTTAAACGATTGAAAATAAAGCTGTTTTGTAAACTAAGCCTTGTGAAAATAAATTCTTAAAACAAATACATTTTTTTAGTTAATTTCAGGTAAAGTTTACTTTAATAGAATTTTAATTTAACCCATACAGCACCGATAGATTGCAAAAACATTACACAATCTTTCACCGCAATATTGCAATATTGCAAATTCACTGCAAAATGTTGCTACATCATTGCTGTGAACTGCAGCAATGTTAAAATGTCCGCTTTTTGGAAGATTGCAACAAAATATTACAACAATATTGCAATGTTATGAATTTGCAATAATGCATTGTTATTGCAACCATAAACTAATGTTGCATATACAGGTATATAAATGTAAATAAATCATTAATGAAAATACGTTGTAATTAATTTATATATATTACAATATATAAATTATAGAATTTGGATTACATGCAATATTTCCGAAATATTAATGTCATGTTGCTACAAGTGTGCTGGAATTTTGTGCACCTATATCTCTGCAATGTCTTTATAATGTTGCATTGCAACTTGCAACATTGCAACGTTGCTGCAATATAATTGCAATAATCTGTGCTGTATGGGAAGGCTTTAAGTTACAAAGATACATACGATTTTAAAAATTGGGGACATTAAAAAATTGGTGACATTTTCGCTGAGGAAAAGTCATCTCCAAATTACTTTAGGAGTCTCCCATAAATGAATGATACGGTAAGGTTGGAACACCCTGTATACAATGTGCAATATATTTTCGTCAGAAAAAGTTTTTAATTTCTACATATAGTGTTTGTTTCAATATAATTATATGTATATACATATTATTCATCACGCACGCATTGCGTTATTACTTATTACTGAAAGATTGAGTGCCGCAATAAAAACTGAAGTTTATCTAATGAAAATTACGTAATTTAATACTTTTAAACTATTATCGTAACCGGTTTAACAGAAAACATGATTTAGAAAAACATATATGAAGGAAATGTACATAAAGTTGTACCCTGTATATATGCGTTTAAAAATAAATTATCTCCATATTTTGTTTAAAAAGAGGAAGAGATGGAGCTCGTATGAATACGTATTTTGTTTCTATATCATTTCTTAAGCATACACGTTAAACTATGTATCGTCTGGCATTATGTGTGAAACTGGTTTTTATCTACACTTCTTCATTATAAAATCAGTTCACGATACATAATCCGTGCGAAAAGACCTCAATTAGTATATGGCACAACGATCCATTCACGTTCATTCTGTTGTGTAAGTATTTATATATTTACAAATTCGAGTCTAAAGCAAGAGACTTTCGTATATTAAAGCTCGCACGCAGTATTATTTCGTAATAGATAATCTTAAATCGAGAAAAAGTGAATATAAGAGTTCTTATATTGATTTTTGTTTTTTAAAAAAATTCTTTTATACACAATTTTTTTTAGTAAAGAATTATTTATTTTCTTTTTTTTTAATATTTTATTGTATTTAATGATATAATTAATATAAATATAACATTTAAATCGATCAATAGAGCCCAAGCGCGAAAAATTAATTTTTCGGAACTGTATCTCTTGGCTTGAGATTACTATAAATTCCATATATAAATCAATCTCGAACTTACATATGGAAAAATCTATTGGTCGATTTCAATATCATATTTATATTATTATTAATACTAAGAGCCGATAAAAATATTTCTTATTTGATATAATTAATATATAAAACACGCACGATATGTGATCTATAATTATTAATGAAGCAGCAATAAGTGTTATCAAATATCTTTGTTGGTTTTAATGTTGAAGCAGTAATAAAAGTATCAAATATCTTTGTTGTTTTCAGTGTACTGACGTAAACAAATAGTAAGTAAATTTTTTCAGTATTATGTACAATAGTTCAAACCTTGGTTTAGTTATTTACTTTTTTCAACACAATTTGCGCACAAAGGTTAATTATGATTGAAAAAAGAAATTAACAAAGTATGAGCTAATATTTTATGATAAAATCAGTGTTTCTTTACTAAATATCGATTTTTTAAACTGCATTATATTGTATAAAATTATGGTAATTTTTCGTAAGCAGATAATTAACTGTGTATATTTTAAATTCATAATTCTCCGATACTCGATTATTGCAATTAAACAGCGACGATGAAAATGACGATGCAATAAAGCGCTTATATCGTTGTATAAATATTTGATCAAAGATTAATTATATCAGTTCAAAATTTTATAAATACTCATCGTATCTTCAAATTTTTATTAAAAGAAGAATATCACCCATTTTATAAACAATAAATCTTTTTAAAGATGTCAATAAATATAGCTAAGAAATGTACTATAAAAGATTTTTAATTTTGTGTAATTTTCGTGAATCTTTGATTATATAATGAGCACAGATTTCGCGTGCTTTTAAAACTCTAAACCTAAACGATCATCGAGAAATAATCGAGAAATATTTCGTCGACAAAATATTTTCATTTACACTGATTTTACTTTTGATTTTAATATGTACATTTATACTAATTTTATGCTGTATATTATAATTGAAGTCTCCCCGCACGGAATAGCATCGTGAATACTAATTTTTTATATTATTATTGATGTAAATATTATATTGGTTAATCTTATTAGTGAGATAATTATATCATATATATAACATGTACATTATGTAATAAAATTTTGTCAATGTATTGCCTGTGTATGTAAGATTCTAATGTAATTCTACTTTAACAAGTATTGTATATATCTATAGCAAAATTTATGCATTATTTATTTGATAACTCAAACATGTTTACAGGATGCAAGAATGGATTTAAACTCTTTACTATATGTCATCTTCGTTGTTTTAATCATTTCGGCAATTTTATCGATATTGTATCATCACTATATTTTTCGACGAAAATTCAAAAACATTCCTCAATGCGGTGGATTTCCCTTTGGCGTGATATTTGAAGTAATAAACCTAACGGACTATGGTAAAGAACTTTAAAAATATTACTTTTGTGCTTTTATTTTGTGTGTATAATATTCGTCTATATACTTAAAAAAAAATCAGTATAATAATTAGTAAATATTAAATATCTCATTTACAGAAATTGTAAAATGGTCGACTGAACGTATGTTACGCTTTCAAAAAGGAATCTATATATATTGGATGGGTACAAAACCGTTTGTTAGTCTTCATAAACCTGAATTTTTAGAGGTAAGATAATAGAAAGAATCTTGTTAATATATAAAAGTATCGGTTATACATATATATATATATATTATATATATATATATATATATAATATTTGTGATAATAAATGTTTAAATAGTAATTTATTATTGTAAGAAAATGAGATTTCTTGCAATAGTAAAAGAAAATAAACTTTTATAAACTTTTATTATTAAAACTATATTATTATTAAAAATAAGTATAATTATTTATTAAAAAATTTTTCAATATAAATAATTACACGGAGGAAGAGAATTTTGTTAGTTGTCAGTAATGCCATTGTTGCTACTTCATATTAAAATAAAGGACTACGGCAGTTTGAGCCCCGATATTACTATAGTATCATTAATCGATAGTGGGACACTCACAAAATACGAAATCTAATAAAAATTTCGTACAAAATCCAACGCAGAGAATTCAAAGAAGACCTTAGACAAGACAGGCACACATTATCATATATACATATATAATAGTAAACTTTGCTCTAGCTCTAGCACTCAGAGGACTCGTTATCTTGACAAAGGAACTTTTTAATCTTTTTTATTTGCTCTACACTGAAAAACAAATTTATTTAATTCGAATAAGTATTTATTTCAATACTGTCAAATGAATCATTTATTTGAATAAACTATATAATAATATTTATTTGATGTGAACAACATTTATTTGATATAAGAAAAACCTTTTCAAAACAAATAAATATTTATTTGTATCAAATAAATGATTTATTTAGCAGTATTAAACTAAATATATATTAATTTAGTCATTTTTTTAGTGTACAATTCTAGCCACGTCTCATTGTTCGCCGGAGACGCATTTTTTTCCTATAAAACTGGCATAGTCCTTTACGTTAATTAAAAGTCTAATAAATACTTTTTGCCATTATTATATATATATATATATATATATATTCATACTGTTATTTATAATATATTTTTTTTTAATTATAATATATATTTATACAAAAAGATATTGTTGACACAAATATATATCTATATTTTATGTTTAGTATTTTTTTTAATTATGATATATGAATAATAGAAAAACTGTCAAGAATATTAAATTTAAATTTTGCTAAACCGATAAACTCTTTCGTTAATAATAAATTGAATTTATTTATATTATTTATATATCATGTATTTCTTTCTCAAAGTAATCGACAGTACAAATGATTTTTTAAAGAAAAATTATTTTGCTTTAACATTTAAAAACTTTCATAATTAAATTTAATCGGCACACGAGATTTTTCTATTTTGTCGAGAAAATAAGTTTTATACTTGTAATATCGAATAATAATGATTACTATCGAATGTGTATCGTTTGTTTTTACAAAGTGAAGTTTATTAAATATATGTTTATTAAATATATGTTTATTAAATATATAATGATAATAATGAGATTTTGCTGCAACAGTAAAATTCTTTCTTTTCTTGAATGTGTATACGATTACGGATTATAATGCCGATATAATTTTGATAAGCTTAATTATCGATATTGTAAACGGACACGTTTAAAACCGAATCTTATATTAAATATCACATTTTATTTATAATTAATAAAAATAAGGAGCATAAAAAACACTCATACATATTTAAATATGAATAAAATTTTTTGATGTCCGTATATTAATTTCTGTGTATAATAAAATTAACTATTCGACTCTACCATATATTATTTACGTGAGTTATTATATAGTTATATTGATTTTATTTTTTTCTGTAATTGTTATAACGTAGCATACTTTAACGAAAAAGTACTACTATAATCGCAAGTTATTATTTTACAGAAACAGCAATGGGTGTGGATGTACATGCTCAAGAAGTTGAAACCAATTTTACCTCAACAATACATAGGTATGAAGAATCATGAATTGCATATTTTGTTAATAAAATAGTTAATAACATCATTAAATTTATTATAATCTTTTAAAGAATTAACAGCAAATTTTGTGTGATTAATTAATTGATATAACAGCGTAAATATAATACTGTTATATTGGTTTAATATTTTAATTGTGTTTTTAGGAATTCTATATTAATACGCGACCGAATGTTTCAACCGTGGCTTTGGCAAGATTGGATATATAATTTAGTTCCTTCAGCAAAGGAATATAATTCAGGGGTTAATAGGTTGCATAAGTTCACGAGAGAAGTACGCATCAAAACAAACGCTAATGATAATGATATACAAATATACATATTAAGATATATCGGCAGCATTTAACTAAATTAATTATTCATGTTTTTTAATTTAAATAAATTGAACAAGTTTGCAATAAATATAAATAATATATTTCAGGTGATAAATAAAAAAAGATAGCACGACAATCGCACGACAATACCGCCTATTCAGAAAAGGAAGACGATGATGAATTTATAGGTGTGATTATTATAAATTATCGTTATATATACAATATATAAATATGTTTTAAAAAGGATTATATAAATAGATTTTAAAACATTCTTGTGAAATTTATTGCGTTAGGTAAGCGGAAGAGGAAAGCTTTTCTGGATCTGTTACTAGATCAAAATGAGAGAGCTGACACTCCATTAACCGATGATGAAGTAAGAGCACAAGTAGATACATTTATGTTCGAGGTAAGAAAAAAAAGACTTGATAATTTAATGCAAAATGCCGTCTTATCGCAGACTTGGTAATGTAATTATAAATGATAATGTCGTTGCGAATGTGGATAAAAATATAACGATATATGATACAGGGTCACGACACAACTGCAGTCGCAATAACTTGGACGCTTTTTCTCTTGGGTAATAATCTCGAGCATCAAGAAAAAGTTCATGAAGAACTCGAAGAAGTTTTCAAAGATTCCGAGACACCAGCTAGTGTAAAAGAACTATCGCAATTAAAATACCTCGATAGAGTCATAAAGGAAACGCTCAGATTATATCCAAGTGTACCTATGGTCTTAAGAAATTTAACGGAAGATGTAAATCTAGGTATGATATAAAACTTCATTTTTATTAATATTTTAATATAAAAGAAATGTAAATTCTATATATTCTGTATATTTACATATTAATTTGATATATAAAATTTGATAAAATTATTTCTTATTTATTAAAGACTAAATAAATGCGAAAGATAAATAGTTTGAAATCTATTTTAAACTGTCTCTAATTTGCGACAGAATTCAAGATAAATAATTCTATAATTTATCATTTTATGCTGCACGTTCAAAAGTCTAATTCTTTAAATATTTTTATTACTTATAGAATTTTATCACGAATTATGTATGATAATTTTGCGTATAAAATAATATGATAAATAATATGATATATATATATAATTTTATATATAAAATTTTCTAAAATAGATTTAACAAAGTTTACATATTGGGGTTTCACAAACTCCATTTCTTAGACCATAGGACATATTTGTATTAAAAAAATTTATCGATACATTTTATGTGGCAAAATACTAAATAATTTGAAAACACACAATCTGTTTTATTTTAGGTGATTTTACGATCCCGAAAGGTGTTACAGTTGAAATCGATATTTTATTAATGCATAGGAATCCAAAAGTTTGGCCAGATCCAAACAAGTTCGATCCGGATCGCTTCCTTCCGGAGAATTCGAATAATAGAAATCCATATGCCTATGTTCCGTTTAGCGCTGGACCGAGAAACTGTATCGGCCAAAGATTTGCTTTACTCGAAGAGAAAACTATATTAACAGCTATTTTGAGAAAGTGGAGATTGAAAAGTGTAAAAAAGCCAGAGGAGGTTGAATACGGACCAGCTCTCATTTTACGACCAACCGAAGATGTGTTCGTTCATTTCACGCCAAAAAATAATTAATTTATATATAAATATATATATATATATATATACATTCATTTCTTTTTATCATGAGTAATCTTCATAATTTTTTCGATTATGGAATTCGAATGTTTTCATCGTTTACATATATTATTGTACATATTATTAACTTCCACATAAACATAAATATTATACACATATTAAGTATCTTTTATATTACCATCTTCGTGTCTGCACAAAAAAAAAAAACATCTTCGCGCAATTACTTACATAACTGATTTTATGCAACTCAACATTATATTATTAATATCATGATATGAGAAAAACTTACGTATCAAGTATTTGATATTACACAATTATTATAAATATATAATTAATAGTGTGATATTGATGTGTTTACAAATCATGAAACATATGGGGCAAATATATTTATTGCTAAATATATATATATATATTTCTCTTTTTCTCAGCTATTTAATTGCGTGCATACCCGCGAGAATGGAAAAGCGGAAATGATTTATAAATTTGTATTTTTACGCACATTTATTTTGTACTCGTTGATTGTTTTAATTTGTAGATAATTACAAATAAGATGATTGATGATCTGATCGATATAAAAGAACAATAATGAATAATAAATTACGCATTAATTGCTCAAGCGATATAACTATATATAAAAAATATAAATTTAATTTACAAATCATTCTTTATTAAGGTTTAGAATGATAAATATATATATATATATACATATATACCTGGCAATGTATATTCGACACTTTTTTCTATATTTCAATGAAAAAATACCTTGAAATATGAAGATGGTTTTTGATTTCAATTTCTGAAATTTTCTCGCAACTTCATTTTATCAGATCCCACATTGCGACGAGAATGCATATTAATAGTCTCTAGTATATATACTCGTTATCTTGATTGTAGCCTGTTTTACAGCCCAAAGTCCAATTAAAATTAATCTTCGTCCTTCCGCGCCAGTTCACTTGTTATCAGTTCACTTGTCGCGATAATACGTCAGTTTACGCGACTCGCGACTCTTGAAAGAAATAGGATCAGTAGCGACCTCTGCCGGTACCGCGCAGTATAGATTATTATCGATACCTGTGTCGATACGTCAGAATCGAAGCGTTGCTTTGGAAGAGCTTCGAATTATCGTCAAGTGTTTGGAGTAAAAATCCCTAAAAGTTTATCTTTTTTACATCACATTGGCCTAGTTTACACTGATTATCAGGAATAGAAAATATTCATCAGTATATAGTAGCAGAGAATAATATCAATCTCCTTTTCCGATTGGTTAAATTTTCTATTTCTTATTCCTATTGCCGGCAGCCCCCATTCCTTATAATCTGAAATCTAATAATTATTATTATTTATTTATTAGATGTGCTGTATATTATAACTCCAATTTAAAATACTTATATATGTATACAAAAAGAGCAACTGTAGAAACTGAAAGCCATTCAAGGCCGTAAGATTTGGATTAAAAAATAAAATGACAATTATATATAATACAAAAAAAATCGGCTCAAATAATAATAATAATTTAATCGAAATAATTGAAAGAATTAAGGTCTTTTTTTCGAGCAAATTTTTTGACAATTAATTTTTATTATTGAAAAATCATATTGCGGAACGTTTGGATTAAAAAATAAATAAAAAAAAGAATAATTTTAACATATATATCTATTTTTTATTTTATCAAAGTGTGTTAGTGATCGATGATACAAAAAAAGTTCCTGTTTCAATGTAATAACTTTAGTGTTTTTATTACTATATTGATTGTTTCAGTGTTTTTATTTTTATATACTTATTTTATTTTTTCTCTTTCCTGGTAGAAATTGCCTTGCCGGTGTCACGACATTTGTTAGCACCATGCAAGTTTGCCACACTACAGCCTTATCCAAAAGAATTGGAAAGATACATATCAGGGCCATCCTTGCGCCTGATATATAAATGGCGTGGCATTCATTATAAAGTTAAACGGGCGCAAGTCTGGATTTGACCAGACTTCTAATGCGGCCCATATTTGCGCCACGTCAAATGCTGAAGAGATTTTTATTTATTTTCACATTTAATGTATATCTTTTGTCATACATATATCTCTTGTTTTTTGGATCCTTTCCTTTGCCTAGATTTTTTGCATGCATCATTAGCTCATTCGGGGTAAAATTGCACGGTAAGTATATATTATATTAATTATATGAATTAACGCATTTACACCTTCCCTCCCCACACACAACACACAATATATATATATATATATATATATATATATATATAATTATATGCATAATTATGTTCTTTACATATAAAGAATTATCATTATTTATTTAACCTTAAAATTGAACACAATAATAGTTCTAAGTATATAATATAATATATAAGTATGTTTGCTACAAATTATAAATATATGGCTCTCAAAATTTCAGCATTAATTGGGATAAAAACACTAAACGATTGAAAGTTCCATTTCTTCCACCTTCATATACAAAAGAAGGGATAAATAATCTCCATGATTTGGTTAAAAACGAAATGGAAGCACCAGAGTCATGGCCACTGTTCAGTGTTGACATTGTTGGTCAAGCAAGTATGTATTATATACAATTTTATTTTTTTTAAATAAAAGAAATTTAATAAAGTCCAAATTGATTAGATGCTCACATACTAGCTTCATCCAACAGAATGTTCATCAATCTGTTGGATTGTATCTGATCTGGAAGCACCTTGATGCAGTTAAATAAATTTTTCTTACGGATTGATTAAACAATGTAAGCTTATTTATTCGAAATTAATTATAATAAATTTAATAAAACAATAATCTTATTTCAGAAACATATTCAGAAGCTGTTGATCGCTTAATGCTTCTTGGTCAAAAGGAGACTGCTTTTTCACAGGATTCGGAAGATGACGAACTAAAAATTAAGAAAGCACAAGCAATTTATCAACAAAAAAGATTTTAAAAAAGTGCGGAAGAAATTAAAGAAATTTTTAGTAGAACTCCTATGTTTACAAAAAAATCTTGTAATCAGTCAGGTATGATTATATTTTAAAATGTACAATATTAATATTTATTTTAATTAAATTTTTAACTGCATTAAGGTGCTTTCAGATTAGATACAATCCAACAGATAGATGTAGATTCTGTTGGATCAAGCTAGTCTGTGAGCATCTAATCAATGTGGACTTTATAAAATTTTTTTCATTAAAAAAAATAAAATTGTTGAAAAGTTTAGGCTTTAATATTATATTATGTTATAGACTAACGTAAACCTGTCAAGTCATCCAAGTCATCGGTGAAGGAAAATTTAACAAAAAAGAGTTTTACGACACATGTACTAATACCAAAGATGAAGTACAAATATTTTCGTAGTAATACTATTGTAAGCGAGTTAAGTAAGGCCATATTTTTTTTATTTCATCGATGGATTAAGCGCATGATGCGCAAATGCTACACGTGCAGATTTGCACATAATGCGCTTGATCCATCGATGAATTAAAAAACATGGCCTAAAGCTCACGAACTACGAGTCATTTTACTGTACAATTATAGTTTAGTTAAAGTTCAACATGTAAAATTAATAAGATAAGTTCTATAATATTTTTATTTTCTGCAATATAAATTTTAAAATTATAAAAAAATATTATTTATACTTTATTTTATTATACCTTTTATAATTAATATTAGATATGTAGATAAGATAATAATGATTAATGAAAAATATATATGATGTATTAAATAAATTTAGTTTCAGGATTTTATGCTGTTATCCTTTCAAAAAATACTGTTAAACATTTCGATTATTGACAAAAAATCTATTACATATTATTGAAAATCAATAACTTTTTCTTCAAAAATTGAATATAGTTCAATAGTATTTTTTCGAAAGGGTGACAGCTTAAAATCCTGAAACTAAATTTATTTAATTCATCATATATTTTTCATGCATATGCCACATCAATAACTCGTTAGTTCCATGTCTGTACTATGTAGTACCTTACTGGCACCATGTTAGTGCCATGCCAGGACCATACCAAATCTTTCCAAAGTTGTGGCACTAGCGGGCAAAACGTGACGATTCGAGGCATGGCGCTTACCAGCGTGCCATGCCAGCTCCTGAAATGGCAGTATGGCACGCTTGCCATTGCCATGCAAGCGCTCAATCAAAATTTCTACTAGAGGTAATTACCTCTGCTAATAACCCAGTAAGCAAGAAATATTTAATCAACATTTTATAATGTTGATTTTATATAAATTTTCCAAACGTTATGATATAATGTTGTATAAATATGTTTAAAATATTATTAATAAATATTCTAAAAAATATTTTAATTGATGTTTTATAAATGTTTTAAAAATATTATTCAATAACATAATGCTCTTAAAATATTAATAAAATATTTTAAAAACGTTAATTTCAACATTACTGAAATCTCTAAATCAATGTCAAAGTTTGTTCATAATGATGTTGCATACAATGTTAAAAACTACACACTTGACAGCAATAATAACGTTGTAGCAATGATTTTTTGCTTACTGGAAAATTACAATACAAATAATAATTATCGACTAGTACGCAAATCTGCTATTCATGCTGCGCAATTTAATTATTGTATTATGTGTGGGCGAGAGATGCATACACAAAATAGCTTTTGTATATGTGCAGCATATGCGACTATATCTACCAGAAATGTAATATTCAATGTAGGAAAAATACAACTAGAGCATTTATATGCCAGCGATTACAACTCACATCTCGTATAATCGAACATGGATTTGATTCTGGAGAATCAGGTTTCTGTTTTAAATTTCCGCTTATTTTAATTTTACTACCAGACACATTCTAATGATAATACTCTAACAAAAATTAGCTAAAAAAAAACTTGAATATATTGATTGTGTTTTTGAATAATACATGAAAGAATAGCACAATATTTACAAAATATTATTGTTATAAAAATATATATTTTGTTTTACATTAATATATAAATATTAATTAATACATAAATATATAATATATTTATAAATATTTACTACTTTATTAATCATATTATTATTTACTATATACTTTATTTATTTTCTTTCTAATTACATAATTCCGTAAAAAATATTTATATATTATAGTAATTGTATTAGTTTCATTAAAATAACTTAATTACAATTTAATAATATATTTATTATTACTATTTAATAATATACATAAACACGATGTGTCGAAACTTACATTAAAAACTTATTGATATTACATATATCAATTATAACCTAATACGTATAATCATATGCGTTTTGATCACATAATTATATATATATATATATATATAATTAAAATTATTATATATAATTAAAAATGATTAAAACGCATACGGAATGCGCATACGCATGCGGAAAAAATTTTTATCATCGATATATAGATAAAAGAAAAACATGCAAATCACTATTGTAATTCAAGTGAATTAATAAGTATGAACAAGCATTACGTATGGATATAGGAAAATTACTTTAAGAGTCTCCCATAAATGAATGATACGGTAAGGGTGGGGCACCCTGTATACAATGTGCAATATATTTTCGTTAGAAAAAATTTCTACATATAGTGTTTATTTTAATATAATTATATGTATATACATATTATTCATCACGCACGCACTGCATTATTACTTATTACTGAAGATTGAGTGCCGCAATAAAAACTTCAGTTTTTCTAATAAAAATTACGTGATTTAATACTTCTAAACTATTATCGTAACCTGTTTAACAGAGAACATGATTTAGCAAAACATATGAAGGGGATGCACATGAAGTTGTATCCTGTATATATGCATTATATATTATTACGTGACAAAAATAAATTTATACATATCTTCTATATTTTTTTAGAAAGAGAGAGAGAGATGGAGCTCGTATGTATATGTACACGTATTTTGTTTCTATTTAATTTCTTACGCATGCGCGGCAAATTACATTATCTTACATTGTGTGTAAAACTGGTTTTTATCTACTCTTTTTCATTATAAAGAGTCTGTTCACGATGCTTTTCCGTGCGAGGAGACCTCAAGTATAATATACAGCATTCACGTTCATTCTGTTGTGTGAGTATTTATATGTTTGCAAGTTCGAGTATAAAGCAAGAGACTTTCGCAAATATACATCATTTCGTGATTGAGTTTTAGATCGAGAAGAAGTGAAAATAAGAGTTCTTACATTGATTTGTGTTTTTAAAAAAATTCTTTTATACAAAATTTTTTTAGTAAAGAATTATTTATTTTCTTTTTTTGAATATTTTTTGAATATTCAAGAATATTTTATTGTATTTAATGATGTAATTAATATATAAATCACGCACGATATGTGATCTATAATTAGTGATAAAACAGCAATAAGTGTTAACAAATATCTTTGTTGTTTTGAATGCTGAAACAGGAATAAAAGTGTCAAATATTTTTATTGTTTTAAGTATTCCAACGTGAACAAACAGTAAGTACTAAATTTTTTTCAGTATTATGTAGTTCAAACCTTGGTTTATGATTTAATAAAGAAATTAATATAATTATGATTTAATACAGAAATTAACAAAGTATGAGCTAATATTTTTTTATGATAAAAGCAGTGTTTCTTTACTAAATATCGATTTTTAAACTGCATTATATTGTATAAAATTATGGTAATTTTTCGTAAGCAGATAATTAACTGTGTATATTTTAAATTCATAATTCTCCGATACTCGATTATTGCAATTAAACAGCGACGATGAAAATGACGATGCAATAAAGCGCTTATATCGTTGTATAAATATTTGATCAAAGATTAATTATATCAGTTCAAAATTTTATAAATACTCATCGTATCTTCAAATTTTTATTAAAAGGAGAATATCACCCATTTTATAAACAATAAATCTTTTTAAAGATGTCAATAAAATATAGCTAAGAAATGTACTATAAAAGATTTTTAATTTTTTATAATTTTCGTGAATCTTTGATTATATAATGAGCACAGATTTCACGTGTTTCTAAAACTCTAAACGATCATCGAGAAATAATCGAGAAATATTTCGTCGACAAAATATTTTCATATACACTGATTTTACATTTGACTTTGATATGTATATTTATATGAATACTAATTTCTTATATTATTATTGATATAAAGTAATAAATATTATATTGGTTAATCTTATCAGTGAGATAATTATATATAAGAAATATATGTCGGCTCTCAATATTATTAAATAATAATAATACATGAATTTTTAAATCGGCCAATAGAGCCCAAGCGCGAAAAATTATGTAATAAAATTTTGTCAATGTGTTGCCTGTGTATGTAAGATTCTAACGTAATTCTATTTTAATATTGGTTAATCTTATCAATGAGCTAATTATATAACATATAACCTGTACATTATGTAATAAAATTTTGTCAATATGTGTTGCCTGTGTATGTAAGATTCTAATGTAATTCTACTTTAACAAGTATTGTATATATATCTATAGCAAAATTTATGCATTATTTATTTGATAACTCAAACATGTTTACAGGATGCAAGAATGGATTTAAGCTCTTTACTATATGTCGTCTTCGTTGTTTTAATCATTTCGGCAATTTTATCGATATTGTATCATCACCATATTTTTCGACAAAAATTCAAAAATATTCCTCAATGCGGTGGATTTCCCTTTGGCGTGGTATTTGAACTACTAAGGTTAACGGATTATGGTAAAAAACTTTAAAAATATTACTATTGTGCTTTTATTTTGTGTGTATAATATTCGTCTATATACTTAAAAAAAATAGTATAATAATAAGTAAATATTAAATATCTCATTTCCAGAAATTATAAAATGGTTGACTGAACGAATGTTACGTTTTCAAAAAGGAATCTATATATTTTGGATAGGTACAAAACCGTTTGTTAGTCTTCATAAACCTGAATTTTTAGAGGTAAGATAAAATAGAAAGAATCGTGTTAATATATAAAAGTATCGGTTATACACATATATATATATACGCGGTCGAAACGTTTGTACTTTATTATCTTATATAGAATAAATACTTAGTTTATATCATCTAATAATGCTCGATTAGTTGGCCTTTTTATATGCTAAATTTTATTTAATTCAAATAAGTATTTATTTCACTACTGTCAAATAAATAATTTATTTGAAACTATAATAATATTTATTTGATATGAACAACATTTATTTGATATAAGAAAAACCTTTTCAAATCAAATAAATATTTATTTGTTTCATATAAATGATTCATTTAGCAATATTAAAATAAATATGTATTAATTTAGTCATTTTTTTAGTGTACAATTCTAGCCACGTCTCATTGTTCGCCAGAGACGCAATTTTTCTTATAAAACTGGCATAGTCCTTTACGTTAATTAAAAGTCTAATAAATACCTTTTGCCATTTATTTGCTTTGATGATTGCAGAATAAATAAAAAATAATACAAATTAATTTATTATTTTTACACAATAATTTAATTGTGTGTGCGTGTGTCATGTTGTGTTTATGTACGTGTCAAGATTTTCGCAAAATTATTTTCAGCAATGAAA